ACGTGCTGGGGATGTGTGTGTGTGTGTTTGTGCATGACGTGGTGTGAGATCTGAACAAGCTGGCTGCCTTGTGCGTGGCGTTTGCATATTTTATGCTTGGGAAGGCAAAGAACACCAAGTTTTCATGAACAAATATTTGCATATTTTCCACTTGTTCGAGCAGATAAAGCATTTCCATTCTCTGTTGAATCCTCAGGAGAGACAGGAACTTCTTCTGTTCGAGGGTGTTTCCTTTCCTTGTACCATTCTGTCTCTCAACTACTAGCTACTCTATTTCCACAACTGGTTAACTGCTTCCTGCCCACTCCCCACACCTGCCTATTCCATTGTCCTCTGCAACAGCTGAAGCAGAACGTGGCCTGGGCAGGTTTGCTGTTGCCTGAACTGAGCTGCTGTGTTTCTCTACTGATGACAAATACAGCAGCTCCCTAACAACAGCTTCAAATGACATTGTGTGGGCTGTGTCTCTAGCAGCCTGGAAATGCATCCTCACCTCTCCATACTGGAACCCGTCTCCAATCACCACTTTCTGCCCTTTCAGTTTTTTCCTGAAGCTCCACTGCGGAGCAAAAGGATCACACTGAGTGGGTCTGAAGATACCCCAGGCCACTGTTGGGCTGGCAGAAATGTGCTTGGGTGAGCACATATTGTGGGTTCATGTGTGTGGAGGGGTCATTTGCAAGGTCCAGTTGCCATATCCCAAATTTCAGCCCATGCCTGGGCTGTGCGTATGAAGGAGTATGTGCCATGTTCTTGCATTCATGCTTAGGCCAAGATGCATGCATGCAATCACATAAACACTCATTTGTATGCATGTATACACACCACATACGTATGCCTCTCTGTATCTGCTCTTGTTCATGATGGCACATGCATATGAACTCTCTGAGCAGCTGGCAGAATGGGCTTTCTGTGTCCCTAACACCCCATCTATGATCAAACATTTGCTGGGAAGAGGCACTGCACACGCTGCCAAAATCACTGCGGTCCTTTCTAGTCTCGCAGCTCCGATCTCTACGTGATGAGAATGAAACCTTTTGTGCAGCACAGAGCTTGATGGAGCCCTTATCTCCGTGCCTCTGCACCCAGAATAGAAAACTCCATTTCCATATCTGACTGGAACAAATCTCCCGCAACACAGCCAGAATTTCACTTAGCCCCTGCACACAGTCCCTCTGGCCTCTGAGGAGCCCAGAGTGAACTGCACCATTGTTAGGAGAGGGATGACAAGGGCAGTTGGTGCTATCACCACAGGAAAAGGTGGGGATTCACGAGGAGGAAGGCAGAGCTGAGGAGAGAGGAAGGGGCCAGGAGGTAGCCAGGTACTGTCCATCATTCCAAACATCTGTTCCACTGAAAGACAGCCTTTTCATCAGTGGTGATAGTTTACAACATTTTGTAATGTTCATTTTCTCCTCCTGAATTTCAGTCAAAAAATACCTTTTCTTTTCCCTCCCCCCGTTTTATTTTTAGTTCGTCTTTTTATTTTTTTTCTCCTGATTTGTCACTGAAGAATAGGATGTGGCATAGGGAGGAGGAGGAAACACAAGACAGAAAAATATGATGCTTGTGACCCTTTCCTTTTAAACTCCTGTTTAAACTAAATACCCTCTATTTTTGCAGGTCTCTCTGGGATGCAATTGGTTTTCCTCAGCAGGCTCCCCTGCAGAGATTCCTTGCTAGTGGGCTCAGACTCCATATATCACAATGATGTCTCCTTGGCACACTGGCTTGGTGCTGACATCGCCATGCTTGGGCTCTTCGGAGACGTAGGTATTTTAAGGAGCCAACCAGTTGGTGGAGTTTCTTGAGTGGTGACTTGCAGCAGATGGAGCTGCAAAGGCGTGTGAAGTGAAGCCTCAGCTCAATTCAGTGGTGAAGGAGAGCAGTTCTGTTAAGCATGTTGGCAGCCAGGGAACTCCCCCAACCTCCCGACCACAGATGTGCAGCCCCTCGGTGGAGAAGAAAACCCTTCCTATATGTGCCCCCCACCCATCTGAGCTGCCTCCTTCAAGGTCTTCATTCACTGTCACATGCCTTCTTCAGTGCCTGGTCATTAACCACCAACAGTGGTACACGATCCCCAGCTACAACCATTTCTCCTCTGTCCTACACTGATGGCTGTGCCAGTGGTGCCCAGGGTTCACCCTGCCCTGCCCTTCACTGCAAGAGGAGCAACACAGCTCCTTGCTTAAAGTGCTGTTGTCTGTCTACCCAACAACTTGATAGCCAGACCTTTTAATCTTCCTACTATTTGTTGCCCCATATAGAGGCAGCAGCTTTGGCAGTTAATCTTCATCCCGGCAGGATTTGTTGTGATTCCTCCAGTGGATGCTGTGGGAGCTCCCTCAAAAGAAGAGGCTTTTTTAGTCCAACAGACTGTGTATCCCTCACCCATGAATAGCTTGGCTGCTTTTCTCACTGGGGCCCACAGTGTGGGCAGCTGATGCATGGATTGAAGGAGGAGGAGATGTGAAGAGGTAGCAGGGATAGAAACTGCGTACCAAGCACTTTCTTTTCCCCATGAGTTGAGCCTGCCCTCTGGCGTGTCTGACTGTCCATGCTCAGAGGTGCTTAGTAAGAGGAGCTAAGCCACAGCTGTGTGGTATCACTGGTAGCTCAGGTCCTGAGGCTGAGCCTACAGACAAGGACAGCTTGACACCCGCATCCCAGGCTTGAACAGGAAACAAGAGGATGGAGGACTCAGGGGCAATCTTTCTCTGTCAGGGAGGTGATGGCTGTACCAGTGGCTAAAAGCACAGATGAATGTCTTTTGCTTGGTCATGTTTGCAATCTCTTTCCACCCTTCCTCTGCTCTCTGGCTTTGCTAGGACATGTCTTTTCACCTTACACCCTGTGATGGTCCTTGCCTGAACTCACTTGCTCTGCACTGCAACTCCCTTTGGTACCTGTCAGGCCTCCACTTCACATATCATTTTTGAGTGACCTTGTCTCTTGCTTCCTCATAAAGTGGTTCTGTTCCTGTCATCCTCAGCTGCTGCAGCTTGTTCTTCTTCACAGTCCAGGGCTTTTGTCTTCTGTCCCAGCACACCTGACCCCAGGCCATCCCTTCACATCTCATGATTTCTCAAGTGACCTGTGAGACATCTTTCTATCAGCCAGCTCTTGTCACTGGCCCTCCACTGACTGCCTCCTCCAACTTCTCCTGACCTCAGGAAAGCATTTCTCCTCCTGGTGGGTCCCTCCTTCCCATTCCTCAAATTATTTGTGGAGGAAAGTACTCAAGTATAATGAAGGGCTCTTCTTTTATGAGAGCCTTCTTGGTGGCTGTAGCTTAGCAACAACATTTATGGAGAAGTTCAAGGTGTGGGGACAGACATTTAGCAGAGCCTGCAGGAATGAAGCAAAAGTGGAGAGAGAGACCTTCATCCCACCCACCCTTGTACATCACTGGTCCTCTAGCCTGCACGCTCAATCAGGCTCGCCCACAACCTCCCTCCAACAACTGGTCCACAGAAGCAACCACCCATCCAACGCTCTTGGCAACACACATACTCTCACGCTCTTACCCAAGCATTCACAGGTGCACACACATTTCCATATGTACTTGCATACCTACACACCTCTCATCTACACTGAAAACATCACACAATGACATACACACTCTTCCACATCAGTGTTTGTATACACCTATACACATGCATACCCCTTCGTGTAGCTTTGTACACGTTTGTACACACCCCACAGCCACACACAGATTAGCATCAGTGCCCAACCCACTCATATCTTCCAGTAGCCCTGACTCCTTGATCTACAGCCATTTCCATACACGTACAGTCCAGTGACCAAACTTCTGCATACAATCACCTTTGTTCTCATGCAGACACATTGTTTCTTATCCACCCTGAGCCACTCTATCATTTCCCAAAGATGAATCAGTTCCTACTATTGCCCAGACTCCTGCAGCCATAGCTCTCACACGTTGGAGATCCCCCAACCTCCATCTGCTCCCTGCCCCACAAAGGCAGGGATCTTTGATCTCCTGTACTGGCCAAACATTATTTCGTACAGAGATCAACTCACCTCAAAGACATTGTGTATTCTTAGGAGAGCCAAAGCCAAATCTATAGCACCCCACCCCCCTAAACACACAGATAGTTCTGCCCAGTTGGCCTTTTAAGTCCAAAGGCTTTTTGTTTATTTACAATAAGGCTTAGGGAGAGAAAAAGGGAAAGGGCATTTCAGCTTGTAGGAAACCCTGCCTCCAACCCATGCCTTGTTGTCTTCTTTTCTACTCTTGTTACACCTTCCACCAGGGTGCATAGGCACCAGGAAAACACTGAAGAATGTGAGATGCAGGGAGGAAATGTCCCAGTTGCTCTCTCAGGTAAACCTCATCAGCCTGCTCAGAGTCCGAGTGCCCTGGAAAGAAAGAGGAAGCTTTGAGCAGCCAGAGTGGTCTCCTGCCACAGCCAGCATGGGTAGGAGTGTTGTCCCCAAGACTTACTGGGGAGCTAAATGGGGGTCAGCCATACATGCAACTGGCTGGTATGTCTTTGTTGCAGACATTCTTCCTTCCTGTTTTTCTTCTAGCGTAAACCGCTTCTCACGTTTTTAAGGAAGATAATCAAGGTACTGGATGCCTATTCATTGTATATGCCATTCGAGGACTTCCTTGAGGTGCCGCAGTCAGATGGCAGCTGATGCTCTTCACCACTGGGTCATCTAAAGATGAATCATGCAATCTAGGGCTGACCTTGCTTTTTCCATATTGTCAGTGCCCATCACCTCTTCACCTCTCCCTGGATGCAGTCCTTCCTTTACTTGGTACGACAAAAACCTCAGGTGTCTCTTTCAAAGCCAAGAACACCACCTTGCTTCTTCCAGAAGTTCATAGAGCCCTCTTCATCTGCAAGCAGAGTCTTGGACTTTAATATTCCCTTGTATGAATGTCTTCCATTGCCTTTGAGGTGGAAGAGCACAAAGGGTGAAGGGGATCCCATGTCCCAGTGTCTCTTTCCCCTGCACCATCCCTTTCATCATAAGTAACTGACATGCAACTTGTTGCTCTTTTCGCATCCCCCAGGCTCCTCAGGGAGTGTTTTTTGCTGGTTTCTTTCTCCTTCCCCACTGCTTAGAGGGTGTTCCCGCTTGTCATTACCATTCTGTGTGATCTTGCTGATCTCGCCCTCTTCCCCTTCACCGTCAGTCTTCTCAGGGGGGCACTCTGGCACCTCCTGGCTCTGGACTCGGCGGGATGGCCGGAAGATGGCCCTCCGGAAGCCCTGCTTGAAGCGATAGGAGAGGAAGCCATAGATGATAGGATTGGCACAGCTGTTGGCATACGGCAGCACCACGACAAGGAAGTAGACACCAAAAAGGGATGGCTCCTCTGGCAGTGGGCAGACAACATTGATTATGTTGAGGACATAGAAGGGGAGCCAGCAAAGAATGAAGACAGCCACAACAGCCACCACCATGCGGGTCACTCTGCGCTCCGATAGCTTGTGCTTGGAGGACAGAGCCCTCACCCGCCTGCCTGAGGAACGAACCTTCACAACAATAAGAAGATAGCAGAGACAAATCACCAGCAGCGGCCCAAAGAAGCCCAGGGTGGCAGTGTAGACAATGAAGCCAGCTCTCCACACCGAAGCAGGCTCTGGCCACTGGATATGGCAAGTGTTCATCCCTAAAGGAACGTCTGAGAAGACGACCACAGGCAGCACCACTACGGAAGACAGCACCCACACGGTTGCACTCACAGCCTTGGCCACCCGTGCTGTCCGCCATTTGGAGGACTTCCCTGGGTGGACCACGGCCAGGTAGCGATCGACACTCATGACCGTCAGGCAGAAGATGCTGGTGAACTGGTTGATGGCATCCACAGCCATCACCAGGCGGCACATGAAAGACCCAAATGGCCAGTAGGACAGGGCATTTTGTGCAGCCAGGAAGGGCAGGCCCAGCATGAAGAGCTCATCAGCTAGGGCCAGGTTCAAGATATAGACATTGGTCACTGACTCACTCACAGAGTGCCGCAGGACCACGTAGATGACCAGAGAATTCCCAACCAGCCCCACCACACAGACAATGAGGTAGACCACAGGGATGAGGACACCACTGAAAACCACAGCAGGGCTAGTGATGGTGGAGCTGTTGGGGGTGGTGAAGCCTGCCCAGCTGCCAGAGGCATTCCCCTCCTTGGACACCACCGGCGTGGGGAGGCTGAAAGCAGAAGTGTCCATAGCAGAGGCAGGGAAGAGGGCGAAGGGCAGTGTCCTTGCAGGATCAGTTACCAATCTGGAGATGAAAGGAGGAGAAAAAAGACATTGATAGTGGGGACATGACAACTGAACAGATAAAGCCACAGACAAACCCACCACATTAACATGGATAGGCATGGGAAGTTGAGGTGAGTTAGTGGATGCTGGCAGCTGGAAGATGTAGGAAAATATCAGCCCCATCTAGCCCTGGGAGACACAGTGGGCATGGAGGGACAGAAACATGACTCAGTTTGAGCCAATGGATCCTCTCCCTTAGGGACAGATGCTCTGGGGAAAGAACCACAGGCTAGGATAGGTACAGGGAAATTTCTCATTTTCTGCTAATGGCTTGAATACTGAGTTACCAGGGGCCTGATTCGCATTTGTGAGTGGTGGGTGCCTTAGGAACAAAAGGGAGAAGAGTATCCAGTGACAAAGTGCAATTCCAGCTCTGGTTCCTCCATTCATTGAGTATCCTCCTGCTTGCTGCAGCTCTTCTTGGACTGGCCAGGTTATCATGGGGTTGTTTGTCCCACCAGCAGAAATGAAATCATCTCCACTCTCAGTCCAAGCTAAGAGGCTTATTGCAGCACCTGTGCTGGAGGCTAGCTGGTTTCTGTTAAACCAGTTTGGGAGTGAAAGAAGAGCTAGATTATGTGGGGTACACTAAGATGGATCACCCCAGATCTCTCTTGTCTCTTTCTCTCTAGTTTTCTCTCTCTCCTCCTGCATCCTGTAACACACTGCCTCTTCTGAGGCTCTGCCCGCCTCAGCTGTTTGCAACACCAAAGCAGATCCCAGCCTTCCTAACCTGAGGTGCCCAATTGCCTGTCACATCAGGGTTTGGCATGGAAACAGCACTCAGCTCACTCAGAGGGAGCCTTAAACAAACAAGCTTTCCATTCACCACCAGCTCTCTGCTGACACTGGGTGAGAAGCTGCAGGGAGAGAGGAGACACGTAAGGGAAGAATGTGCCTTTTGTCAGGGCTCCAGATATGTGAGATAGAGAGCCCAGCAGATACTCCAGGCTAGAGACATCCTGGCAAACCTTATGCATCATCTTGATGAACTAGCTCCTTGGAATGGAGGATGACCTGGTGAAAGAGTACAGGGACTCTGAAGCTCACCTTTATCCATCCCAAAAAATTTCTTAGGGCTCTGAAGCTCTTTTGTTATGTAAATGAAAACTGGGGATCTCAAAGGAAAGAACTCATAATGTTAACTACTTTCAAGAGGCCAGAAACACACCAGAGGCTTTTCTTCCAGATGGGATTCTCTGTAGCATCCCATCTTTCTTCACAAATGTCTTAATACTACAGCTTTTATTCTTTTTTGTAGATGTCATTCCAACTCCTGGAAGCCTTAGGGGAGACCTGAACTTTAGATGGATATCAGATAGTAAACCAAACAGACTCCACAGGTGTACCAAATCTTATGCTGAAAGAATATCATCTAACAAGCCCTTTAAAACCACAGATGGGCAAATATGTCTTAAGGCCATTTCTACAAGCTATTACATAAATGTTTCCTGCTATACTTAAATGAGCTATGAAGGACTAGAATTGTTTAGACTTTCTTTATTTGCAGGTGCGTTGGGCTGAGACACACTGTCCTGGTGGAAGCCCATCTCCTGGGGTCCTGCAGTACCACACATCATGAGTGACTGCAATGAAAGGGCAAAGTGAAAAGGGATTTGAAACTCTATTTCTACGCTCAAGGACCTTTCATCTGACTTTTTTGGTTTTCCAGTTCTGTTCCAGTAATGCAAATCACTTGTTGGAGGAAAGGGAAGGGCAGTGGCTCTTCTGGACACAAAGATCCCTGCAAAGGGCGGCAGAGACCAGAATGGTATGTTCACAAAAAGATGGTCCTCTAAAAGTTGGGGACATAGTTAGGAATCCCTTTGGATGTTCCTCCAGAATGCAGAATAACTTCAAAATAAAAAAGCATTTGGAGACAGAGCTCTACAAATATCAAATACAGATGGGAGGACACATGCTGGGACTGAAGAGCATATGGGGAAGTGTCTGGGGTCCAGACCTCAAAGCTGGGTGCTCAGGCTGTGGTTTAGCAACCAAGTAAAGCTCCAGTTTGAAGCTTCAGGGCTCAAAAGCCCTGTTAAAAATACTAAGGCATGCAACACACAGTAATGATTCACTATAAACTCGTTCTTCTTCTCAGACAGCTGCAGTGGAGAAACTTTGTCTTTAAGCAAGCATGGTCTGGCTGTGCCATTCTAGCTCTGCCAAGTACCATCTACCAACTCAAATGCTGTATCACACGCACATTCTGGCTAGTTTGACTGGTGTTCCACTGGACACCAGTGCCTCATCTGGGTTGAATCCACTCTGCTGCCTGCTTTGGCAGCACCCACTGCATTGATGAGGAACCTTGTCCTCATGCTGATAGAGTGTTGGCATCTGCTTGGAGTCTGTCCCGCATGTGGACAGTACCTGTTGCAAGTGGCTTGGGATCCCCTAACATGTGTTACCAGAATATACCTGGTGCATACATCTGCAGAGCAGGAGGAAGGCAGAGAGAAGGGAAGAGATGCAAATCAGTGCTATCACTTTCTGTAGGGGAAAAAAAAATTAATAAATGTCTGCATTGGAAGTGAGGAGGAGGTGGATGCTAAAAGCTGAGCCTGGACCTGGTTACAAAACAGGAGTAGGAGCTGGGAGGGTCCACAGAGTCCAATAACCTGCAGCCCCTCTTACCTCCCTCCCCGTCTGTCCCCCTTGTTTCCCACGGCCCTGTTCCAGCTCAGGACTCCTCCTGCCTCACCTCGGGGCTGAGCTCTCTGGTAGGGTCCACGCTGGGCTGTCGGGGCTGGGGGGTCGGAGGGGTTGGGTGGGCAGGGTTCCTCCTCTGGGACTGCAGACTTAACTTCTGCATGGACTCACGCCCGCGGGAGACATCTGGGAAGAGCCGCCT